CATCAACTGACTTCCTCTTTGAAATCGACCGAGTCAACGGACTCCGTTTGGCTGTCGGATCAGTTGAATTCGAAAATCTGTTAGAAAAAGAGAATGGGGAAAAAAATATGAGAAAAATGGAATTCAAACTTCACAATAAACAGATCTTAGACTCACGTATTGGTTTATGTGAGAGAGAGTGAAGAAAAGAAAATGGGACAAAGGGAGGGAGAGAGGAGACTCACCATGTCACTGACCGCCACAACTTCCTCCATCACTCATTGCTGTCATCGCTTATCACCGAGTGTATGGGAAATTGATACAACATGCTGTAAGTGTCAGATGATCTACCACAACCATCGCCATTAATTAAACAACACCACCATTAATGTTTCCGGGAAAAAAAAGAATGACAATCAGGGGATTGAAGAGGCAGATTGAATTTTTGGGAGGAGATTGAAGGGTTTTTTCGGTGGGGGAATTGAATAGCCAGCCTATGGGAGAAATATAATCAATGTAATGGAAGGAAGAGAGACTCGAAGGAAGAGAGAGATATTGATTAATGGAAGAGAGACATAAATGCAAATAAGGATATTTTTGTCAAACGGAAGAGTAGAGATGGGTAGAAGAGGAAATTTATGGAGAGAGTAAGATAGTAGATGGAACAGTGAAGAGAGGTCAAAATAGGAGGGTGAGTCAGAGTAATTAATTTATAGGAGAAAGTGTAATTAATGTTGAATGAGAGTGTGTAGGAATTATTGTAGGAATCAATGAGTGCACAGAGAAAGAGAGCAGCAGCACTTTTGACGGGAAAGTTGGTGAAGCACCCTAGAATAGTGATGAATATAATATGAGAACATCAATTACTTATGACACGTGGAGATATTTTTTAAATATATAGGTCGGTGGTCGGGTTATGTGGGTTTCTTTTTGCCAAACCGATTATTCGACAAACTGCAAAAAATATCCATGTTAACCCGTAGTTGACCGAATATAGTTTCCAAACCGTCTGTTTGTGGGCTGGCTGGTTGGATTCATTGGGCAGGGTGGGTATTCGAACAGCCCTAGCCTCATGAAGTATTTGTATGATTTACATTATAGATAGGGCTACTACTTCAATGTTAGCTGCTCATTTGGTCATTTTTTGTCTATAGACGGAGTTGTGATCAAATTCTCATTTTTTGTCTATAGATGGAGTTGTGATCAAATTCAAAGAATAAGAAAAAGGTTTTGTTTGGACTGCATTTCCATGACTTGCAGTGCAGTTGTAAAAATAACACAGGGAATAAATTGAGGACAATAATCTATTGCACCTTCTAGATATATCACCGTAAAAAAAAAAAAAAAATCCAATAAGATTATTATGTCTAGAAATTAATATAGAGCCATATCATGTCCAGGATTCACATCCAGATCATAATCTTTGCAAAGACTTGTCAACAGTAGTAATGTGAAAGATCATAGACTCGTCAAGGGACCGATGGATTCATGGTTTTTGATTGCTTTGGACAAGTGGATTCCTACTGTACAACCACTTGCACAACATCACCGCCATCAACCACCACAGTGAGCCACCAACAAATGCCATCAAGAGACCTACTGTATGTTGAAGTCTTCACCACACCCCAACTAAGAGATCCACCATTAGAGGGACATAGAGATAGAGAAAGAGAAGTAGAGAGAGGTTTCTAGAGAGTGAGGGTAGGTTGGTGGTGATGCTGAAAGTGAGGGTAGGGTAGGAAGAAAGGAAGTGTTTGGATACTGATGTAGTATTGAATTTTAAAATATTTAATGGAGAAAGGGTAATTCTATATCATCCATTAGTGCCGTTTACTTTTTCGTTATTAACCTTAGGGGCTCACTATATTTTTTATTACTCACGGTCAAGGGTGGTCAATGTAATTTGTCCTTTAAAATTTGTTGTGGACAAAATTTTAAAATATTATGTTAGGGAATATGTGCAAGATGTTTATTTTATTATTTTATTCTTAGTTTATTTCAACATCAACAAAAAATAATCGTTTCTAATGATTTTTTCATTCGAGTTATGTAGTGATATATATATTTTAAAATTTGTCTTGCTGACTTTTTGAAATATTTCAATGGTGGACACCTTGAGACATTATTAATTATTAATTTATAAGAAATTTCGTGTCAGGCGGACCTATCAGAATTGCAAGATGTTTATTTTATTATTTTATTCTTCTTTTATTTCAACATCAACAAAAAATAAATAGTTTCCAAAGATTTTTTCATTCGAGTTATGTAATGATATATATATACATATATATTTTAAAATTTGTCTTGCCAACTTTTTGAAATATTTCAATGGTGGACACCTTGAGAAATCATTAATTATTAATTTATAAGAAATGTTGTGTCAGGCGGACCTATCAGAATTGGAACAGATCAATTAGCATATCCACCTATCATCGGAGGCATAACCATAAAAAATATCATTAAAAAAGCGTGAGTTGTTATTAAAACATTATAAAGTTGATGATTCCCACCAAGAATTTGATTGCTTGGTCGTGCTAATTCCATAGGAAGGGTCTTTGTTTGGATTGTGTATCTAGGTTATTTTTATTATCAGTATTTTTTTTCTTCTTGTATGGACTATAAATGACCTCATGTTCCATAATGGTTGCTTGACATAGAAATGTGACTAAATAATTTGACTCCATTTACGAGTTTATTCAAGTCCCCTTTTAGGCTAATATTGTCGAGGAAGTGACTAATTATTGCATATGAGGCTGAAGTGATCATTTTTACTAGTAAACTCGGTCAAAAGTTACAATTAGATATCAAGAGTAGGAGAGTTCCTTGACTAATTTTGTAAGTGAAGGAGTTTCCTTGCCTGATTCACAAACCTTATGGAAAGTCCCTACAATTTTCACTTGAATTACACTTAAATCAAAACTTCATCACTCTTTCATGTATAATAACTCCGTCAATTTATTCACTGTTGAATTTTTGTTTAGGGCTAGATGCTGAACAGACGGGAATGCAATATTCTACTTTGTACTGTAATTTCTCTGAAAGTAGAGGAAGTTGTTTCTGTAGATGCATGCTAAATATAGAAAGAGCGCACTTGTTCTGTAATATAGAAAGGGCTTTGCATTTCACTCTTTGTTGTGGGGTTGTCACCGATTGACGTGCCATACGGATAGGGAAGTCATCCAATAAGTGGTTTTAGCATATCTTATGCAATCAATTGATTCTATCATGTCTATTCTTCACTAGCGCATAGGCTCTGGCTTCTTCCTCTAGCCAAGCCACTACATGCATATGTGTGATTCGTGGCAGTTTTTTTTTAAATTTTTTATGGAGTGCATCATTTGTGTTCGACTCAGGTAGCTAAGAAGGACTTTTTCCTTTCTCTTTGCATGATATACCAATTTCTGAAGAGGATTGTTTTTTATGGGTTTGGGCTGTTTTCCCGGTGGCATGCCTTGCTGTTTCTAATATAGTGGTCATGATCGATTCGATAGAAAAGAAGGAATAGTTTGTATTTTTTGTTGGGATTTCCTGGAAAAACTAGTCGTGTCTTATTCTGATTTATTATAAATGATATTCAATCTGCCAAAATAAAAGTTAAAAGAGGGTATGTATGCTCATTGTGTTCTTTATATGGAAATCTGAAGCTTGGGGGCATTCCCTTGACTTGTACTGGTGAGAATTTTACTCCACAAGAAATTGAAGAAAAAACTGCTAAACTAAAGAATCCTCTTTTTTTTAGAAAACTCGCATTGGGTTTAGGGATAATTAGGCTTGAACTGATGACTTCCACCACGTCAAGATGACGCTCTATCGCTGAGTTTTATCCCTTCCCGTTGTCTAAGAACTAGATTTGTCTCGTCTTCATCTCTCTCCCATTCCGTTAGCATTTCTATCTTGTTACCAAATCCTTCAGACCTAGGGCATGCCACTAGGAAAGGTCTTTGCCTACTTTTATAAGGGAGTTTCCGTGGCTGATTTGTAGCGGGCCTGGCGTAGCGGTAAAGCTACCCCTTGGTGACCTGGTGGTCACTGGTTCGAGTCGTGGAAACAGCCTTTCCGTTTGTGGGGGTAAGGCTGCGTACATAACCCTTTCCTAGACTCCACTTAAGCGGGAGCTTTCGTGCACTAGGTACGCCATTTCCCTGCCTGATTCGTAAACCTTTTGGGAAGTCCCTACAATTTTCTCTTGAATTACACTTAAATCAAAACTTCTTCACTTGTTTCATGTAATGTAACTCTTTCAATTTATTATCTATTGAATTTTTGTTTAGGGCAAGATGTGTAATGTAACTCTTTCAATTTATTATCTATTGAATTTTTGTTTAGGGCAAGATGCTGGTATTTAGAACAGATTGGAATGCCATATCCTACTTGTATTATAATTTCTCTGAAAGTAGAGGAAATTGTTTCTATAGACGCATGCTAAATGTCCTTACCTAATGAATGATTATCATAATAAGTCCTTTAAATATACTACTTTCATTTGTGACTGTATTTGATGAATTCCAACTAAATATATATGTAAATCCTGTCATTGGAACAACTGGCCTACTTAAACCAGTTAAAACTACATGAACGCCATATCATCAATTTCCTGTGTGTATGTTCCCCAGGAGAACAAAAAGGATAAAAGTGCAGGTGATGTTAAATGTCATGTTTTTGGACCTGTTTGATGCATTTCTTTATCAAGTGTTTCTTGTTCCTCTTAGGCTGTGATTGAATCAAGGATTTGAGGAGGGATTTGAGAAGGAGAAGGAAATAGGAAGAGGAAAAAATGAATGAAATAGAAGCTAAATTTTGTCACTTTTTCCTCCTTAAATCCTAGACCGAAACACAGCCTTAAAGTTTCGATGAAGAACAAATGTCTTTTGGGTCTGTTAATTAATAATTATAATTTTCTTTATACCAAGCTTCATAGGCTTTTTAATTCCCCTATGTTCCTGCTGGCTGCCTTTTCCCCAAATCTGTGCTACTAATGCAGTTGATTGTTTCTAACAAAATTGTGTACTTACAATTAACAGGTTCCAAATGCCAAGATTTCTATTTGTGGATCAGATGATCATTGATTGCATGGACAAGGTCTCTGGCTGAAGTATATGTTGTAGACCCCTCTGGACCAGTCTCTTGTTGTGTTGGCACTACATTTTTCTGAAACCACAAGGACTGTCTAGTTAGAAGTAGACTACTCTGTGCTTATTGCCATGGCTGCTTCAGCAAAAACTCTCACAGTCGAGAAGCCAAATCCAACTGGAGACTGGACAATTGTTTTGCCTCGTCGTGGTAAAAAACAACGAAGAAATCTCAAATCTCAGATCCTAGAACAAGAGCAACCATGGGTTCCAATCGACCATGAGGTTGATTCTGACAGAGAATTGAAATTGATGCAGAAAATGCAAGTCTGCATGAAGAGAGTTGAGACCTCTCTCTTCTTCTATACTTTTATGGATCAAACTCGGTCTCCTCAAATCTTGGATTGTCTTTCAAGGCTTCTGGGCTCTGAACCAAAGATGAACATGGTGATATATGGTATTGGTAGCATTGACTCATATGACCCCCCTCGATTTCAGCTTAGCCTTGCGATTTTGATGAAGAAAATGTTCAGTTGGATTGGAGATCTAGAGGTGTTTGATCCGATTCTTTCTGGTACAGAAACTCGGGTTTTAGAAAGTCTTGGTTGTTCTGTTCTATCAGTCAATGAACAAGGTAGGCGACAAGCTTTGAAACCGACATTATTTTTCATGCCACACTGTGAGGCAGAGTTGTATGACAATCTCCTGCAGGCAAATTGGAGATCGGACATGTTGAACCGTATAATATTGTTTGGGAACAGCTTTGAGACATATGAGCAATACGGGTCGGTGTTTAAGAACTCGAATGTTGTTAATTTGAGGAAGCATATCTTGGCTGTTAGGAGATTTACAAAAGAGTTTGGAATCAAGACGGTTTCGGATGATTATTTTCGAGCTTTTCATGATTTAAGTTGGCATTTTTTCAGCATTGATCCAGAGATGGAGCTGAATATTGTTTGATTGATTGAGCTTGGTGACTAGTGTTCTGAATTATTGAATTGTCTATTTCTTGCTTACAATAATCTTTTTAAGACCTGATCTATTTTTCTTTTCCATTGTTTTAGGAAACAAACTCATTGTTTTCAATGCTTGTGTTTTGTTTTTGGTTTTGAGTGAAACTTTATACTCTAATATGTGTGTGTATATATATATATAGGGTACATTGGATTAAGCTCAGCAGATACAAAATTAGAATTGGAGTGGGTGGATTGTATGAGTCTAGATCATCTGCCGTGGTTGTTTTGGACTTTTTTTTTTTTCATTTGCTAAGAACCCTAATTCTCAAAATAGAGGAGACGAAAGAAGAGAGGCAGAGGCGAAGGCGAAACGAAGGAGGTTAAGGGCGGTGAGGTGACGTCGGTTGGCAAACCCTTGTGTTTGATTTTGTCTTGGGTTTGATTTCTCATGTGTTTCATTTCTTGGGTTTTTTGTTATAAAAAAAATGATTTCTTCGGTTTTCTGAAGTTCCAAAGATGAACAAGAAGATTGAAAGATAATCAACCTCTTTCAAACACAAGAAAGCACTATACAACACTAAGGAGAAAAGGGTTTTATTCTCTCCCTTTCACTTTCTCCTTGCTTTGAAGATGGACCATGTATTACAACAGTAGAACTTTTGTATAAAATACATATACAGAGAGAGAAAGTTGTAGAGAGAGAGAGAGGAAAAGAAGAGAGGGATAGGAATTAGGATCCAATGTGGAAATCAGAGGTGAGTGGGGGATTATTTCAGATCTCGTAATTTTAATTTCAACACTTCAATCATTCAAAATTTCATAAACCCATCTCACAAATCACCTAAAATTATATAAAACCAAAGAAATTAGAAATTTATACATACATGTAATATATACATAAAATATAAAGAAGCAGAACATCTTCGAGTCGCCGTTCGTCCTTCACCGGTTGTCACTATTCCTCGTTCATTCGTTCATTGATGTTGATCTAGATTCATGGCCTCATGGGTCTTTTTCTTACTTTCAAATGATTTTTTTTTTTATTCTCTATGGCCTTGATTCATTGCCGTTGCCGTGGTGTACGAGTTAGGTTCTCAGCTCTCAACGAAAATGGGGAAAGGAAAAAGGAAGAAAAAAAAAAAAACTCAAAATGACGTCGTTTTGAACCATAGCAGGGAATGCTGCAAGAAAACACGGCAAAGGATCCGGACTCAATTCGTATATCCAATTCTGTTGCATTTTGCTTTTGGTGAAATAGGGTGTTTCAGAAAATACTCTATGTTTGGTTTGATTTTTTAAAAAATTGTTCATAGATTGATTTTCATTTATCTATAGTCAATTTTTAAAAAATGTATTTTAGTCAAATTTTTTTAAATGCACAGTTGTTATTGCTATGTGATACTAATGGTTTTGTTGTTTATAAATAAAAACTTGTTTTGTTTTCGCTTCAAAATGTATTAAGTTTTCACTTATTTATATAATGAAATAATCTCCAATAAATTTTAATGAATAAGAGTCGAATTCAAGTAATTTAATTTATTTTAAAATTTTACACATAAATGTTAAAAGAATCCAACAATGTGTGACATATGTGAACCTGACTGACTTAGAGCATCTTTAGTAGTTACAAATATGTTTTGTGCTACTTCAGCATAGAAAAGTTGCAATTTATATAGGTTTATTCAACATGTGTAATATTAAGTAAAAATAGCACAAGATTACCATCAAGCATCCAAAATTACCATCAAGCATCTATATCAGTAAGCATCTATTGGGAGTTTTACCAAGAAGGACTTAGCCCGAAAATGACGACGACCAACATAATTATTTGAATTTATCAGAGATAAAGCTTCTCCTTCACGCCTAAAAATACGTGTCAGAATTCACACCAAAAAATGACAAAAATTATTGTAATTATTTGTGTCTGTCAGTAGTAAGGTTTCTCCTTCACTTAATGCTTTAATAGAATAGACGACCCCTACTTTGTTCTATTAAAAAAAAGCTGTGAGAATTCTTACATGTGTTATATTTTTTCTTTTCTTTTCTTTTTGTAATATTTTGTAAACAAAGAACCAAGAGAGGGAGGATTGAATGATATGTGACGGGGTCCAAAGTAGTACCATGCATCATTATCCTAATCCTTGACTGATTCTTTCGGTAGTCGGTCTTTAGGAGTATTCACCACTATAAATAGAGAACACTCTTTAGTTAGAAGAACAAGAAAAAACATTGTCCAACCTTCAAGTGTCTCAACTTTGTCTTCCAAGTTTCTAAGTGTCCCAGAAGTTGTAACATAATCCTTGTAAGTATTTTGTTATATTAATATGAAGTGTGAGTATATTCTCTTTTTCCTTATTTGGAAAGGGCAACTCTTCTATTCTAAAATTTATTTTCTTTTTGAAAAACGTTTATGAAATGCTTGCTTGCTCATTAATATTACATGTTTTGAATCTTCATAGTATCTATTGTTTTTTTTATTCTATTACTGAGTGACCTTAGCTGAAGAACCTGCGTGAGCCGTGATCAGGCATTAGAGGGAAATTGTTTTGTAGCTAGAAAGGGAAAGGTAAGGAATAGGAAAATAAAAATATATTCTGTCAAACGAGGCTTAGTCTCAAAGTGGGAGCACATGTAACGAAAGCAAACATCACTTAAAAATAGTTTTTTCAAAATAAAAGAAAGAATTTTAGAAGGGTAAATTACACTTTGCACCCCTGCACTTTGCACCAAATCTCACTTTGGCCCCTACAAATGAAATCATGACAGTCAACCCTCTGCACTTCTAGTCAAATCCCACTTTGGTCCCTGTACATGAAATTGTGATAGTCAACCCTTGTACTTTTGGCCAAATCTCACTTTGGTCCCTATACAAGTGTCAACTTCCCTTTTCTTTTACACAATTATTTAAATCTTTAATAGAATCTAATAATGTGATAAGAATATAACTGCTACATGAGGGTAAGAAAGGAAAATCATTTATATTTTCTACCAATACACACTTTATCTTAAAATTTACATCAAAATATGAATACATTAGGCTAAAACAAAATGCAGATTGTGAACAATTAAGAAAATGAACCAGGGTTTTGCATAAATTGAAATTACGAAACTCTGTTTTTCATGATAACATAGTCTTCTGTCTATTCATTTTTTCTCTCTTTGATTTCTTTGTTGCATTTTTTTTTATATATATATTTCAAAAGCTCTACTTTCTTGTCTTTTCGTCCTAATTTTTACCATATGAATGTATATATATTGTATTATGTAACAATAATGTGCTTATCACATAAGACAAAATGTATTGGTGGAAAACATAGATGATTTATTAAGAAAATGAACCAGGGTTTTGCATAAATTGAAATTACGAAACTCTGTTTTTCATGATAACATAGTCTTCTGTCTATTCATTTTTTCTTTCTCTTTGATTTCTTTGTTGCATTTTTTTTTATATATATATTTCAAAAGCTCTACTTTCTTGTCTTTTCATCCTAATTTTTACCATATGAATGTATATATATTGTATTATGTAACAATAATGTGCTCATCACATAAGACAAAATGTATTGATGGAAAACATAGATGATTTTTCTCTCTTACACTCATTTCGTAGTAACATTTTTGTCACATAACTGGATTTTTTTAAAGATTTAAAAATGAAGTTATATAACAGGGACATTGACACTTACATAGAGACCAAAGTGAGATTTGAGTAAAAGTGCAAGGGATAGACTGTCACGATTTCATGTGTAGGGACCAAAGTGGGATTTGACCAGAAGTGTAGGGGGTTGGCTGTTATAATTTCATGTGGAGGGACTAAAGTGAGATTTGGTGTAAAGTGAAGGGGTGTAAAGTGTAATTTACCCATTTTAGAATAAAAGGAAAGTGACCTAAGTAGAAATACCAAAGGAATATTTTCAATATAATATCTTTTAGCCAAATTTTCATGCTTTTGGAAGAAGAACTTAAGAGTTAAAATTAAAGCCAGTAATAAACATATATGAGAATTAGAATATTAGAAACAAAGATATCAATTTTTACTATTATTAGCTACAGGTAGAGCTCTAGCACACTATTGCTTGAGAATCACAGAAATTGATAGACAACTAGCAATAAAACAAGAAGCCTTAGAGCAATTAATACAACAACTTAAGAATTTAATAGTAGAATAATTGTAGAATTAACTAGATAATTCTCAGTCCAACACCAAAATAGTGGTAAACCACTAGCTCCTTCCCAAATTAGTATCAGAGCAATGTTCGGTTTTAGGATAGCTTATGTTAGTTTGTTCATTTTGCTTATGGAAATAGAGTAGTTTTTATTATTGAAAAATTTAGTTATAAGTTTCATGTTATAGTAGGCTTTAGTAATTTTAAATTAGGATTTAATTGTTTGTATGAAAAAACTAGAATACTTAGATTTAGACCTCAACAATTATAATAACCATTGCCTTAATATAGATAAAAATAGATTTTGTTGTAATTTTGAAGGTACTTTTATACATCAGCTTCATAGCGAACACAATTTTTAGCTAAATAGTATTATAGACCATCAGATTAATTTTGTAGAAAATATTAAAAAAGACATAGATAAAATCAATAATCTCATTAACTTGTTTATAGACCATCTTTGAAGTACTTGCAGTATAATTAAGGAGCACGATAAAAAATTTGATTACATCCAAGATCAGTGTAGCTCAATTTTACAGAAAAGATTAGATTTAAATTTAGAAAAAGTTCCTACTAAGCTAGAAATAGAAAATTTAATGTCAATTATAAATATAAGGCATCCTAAACAAATAGAATTAGAATCTAACCAGTTAATAGAAAAAAACCCATAACCAGATAAATCAAATAGCTCGACAAATTGAACAGGTCAATTAGATTCAAGATAGTTTTAAACAAAAGTTAGAAGAATTAGAGAAACTAATAAGATCTTAATTTATGAGTAGTGATAAGAAAGCTAACAGAGATTATTTGGTCATTTTAAAACAAGTAGAAGATTTTCATAATAATCCAGAAGGAACTAGTAGTTATTAAGGAATAAATTAGTCAGATAAAGTATTTGTAAAACAAAATAATATAGAAATTTTATTTCTTATTAGGTTGTGTGAAAAATTTGAGGAATTATCAGAACAACTACATAGTTTGGAAAATCATATAGCTTCTTTAGAAAGATTAGTACATCAAAAGGAAAAGAGGTTGAAGGACAAGCAAGTAAAGTGCAGTCACAGATAAATGAAGAAAATATAGCTAAATATTTTGAAAA